TATCTAGCTGAATTCCTGGGACCAGACGAAATTTAGGTCTCCTACTCCTCCACCATCTTGCTCCTTCTCCTCGTATATGTTCATTCTTAAGGAGAGCCTCAATCAGTGCTCTTTCCAAATTACTCTAATGAAAGCTACAAAATGGGGGCAGGGAGGACTGCTCATATCATCTCTCTATTCCTGAAATTTTCTTTTATTTCCTAACACTTTTCATATGCATAATATATTTGCCTCTGGGCACCTGGCTAGCTCAGTCAGTAAAGCATGTCACTCTTGATCTTGGGATTCTGAGTTCAAGGCCCATGTTGGGTGTAGAGATTACTTAATGAAACATTTTTAAAAAAAATTATACACACACACCTTCATGTAAATCAAGGCCACTGCAAGTCATAAAATTGTATGTTGTTTGGTTCCGTCATGGACAAAAATTGTTGCAGATACCTCTCTTGACAGCCTGAAGATGTACTGTTACTGTTTGTTACGAAGTACTGTAATGAAACTATAGTCTTGATCTGATAGAAGAAAACAAACATGATTCATTTAGAGTTTTGAAAAAAATGATTAAATTTTATTACTTAAAACATAAGTATGATACATTCTGAGTAAAACAGCATCAGTGTAGTGGTTAAACGGGAATACTATACCTGTACACTGTATTCTGGTTGTTTTGATTAAGTTCTTCTGATAACTGCTCTTTAGTTCCCCAAAATAAGACTAACTGTTCACTCATCTTTGATATACAACCACTATCTTCATTAAAGGGAGAGGATGACCATCATTTCTCCATTATTTCTATCACATAAGCAATCCCTACTAACCTATCATGAAAATCTGTCTCTCAATCTCAAAGCCTGCTGTTTCATGCTCCTCTGGCAGAGCAGTGGTTTCTGATAATCCATGGCCCTCTGTTATACAGACAAATCTGTAGAAGGGATCCTGAACATATTATTTACATCATTCTTTTACATATATTCTCTGCCCAACCTGTGTACTCATTCAATTCCACAAAACACTGTATGTTAAAATTCAGTGTTCCTTCAGGATATATGGATGTGAATGATTCCCATTTAATAAAGTAGGCCCTTTATCTTACTGATCTGCTCCCAGAGACCATCATGGTAACACATGAAAAACATGTAATGAAGGTATAACATCAACAAATTCCAAACTTCAGATCAAAAGACGTCAATAGTGAGCGATGTAGGCCTTTCAAGGAACCTCAAGTAATAGAAGTATTTTTAAAAGAAATGTTACATTCCTAAAGCTCTCCTTGCTCCACTGACACTCATCTCTGAGTCTTAAAATGATTTTGACTTTTACTTACTGTGAAGAATTTAACATCTGAGGTTGACTAATCTTGGACTAGTTCTCCCTAGTAAAAATTCTCTGATGTAGGGCGCCTGGGTGGCTCAGTTGGTCAAGCGACTGCCTTCGGCTCAGGTCATGATCCTGGACTCCCGGGATCGAGTCCCACATCGGGCTCCCTGCTCAGCAGGGAGTCTGCTTCTCCCTCTGACCCTCCTCCCTCTCATGCTCTCTGTCTCTCATTCTCTCTCTCGCAAATAAATAAAAATATTTAAAAAAAAATTCTCTGATGTATATATAGCGTATTGTGAAAAATGGTTAATTGATTTATGCCATTCATTACATTTCTAAGGTTCCTCTTCAGCATGAATTCTCTGGTGAATCCTGAGGTCAGACCATCGTCGAAAGGCCTTGCCACATTCAATACATTTGTATGGCTTCTTTCTAGGATGCATTCCCTCATGACCCCAAAGGTGTGAACTTTGATAAAAGCCTTACCACACACATTTGTGTGGTTTCTCTCCAGGATGTATATTCTGATGTCTTATGAGGCTTGAATACTGCTTAAAGGCTTTGCCACACTCATTACACTTGTAAGGTTTCTCTCCAGTATGAATTCTCTGATGAATTGTAAGATTTGAATTTTGACTAAAGGCCTTGCCACACACATTACATTTATATGGCTTCTCTCCAGTATGGGTTCTCTGATGTCGAGTAAGGCGTGAACACCAGTTAAAGGATTTGCCACACTCATGACATCTGTAAGGTTTCTCTCTTCCATGAATTCTCTGATGATCCCCCAAGCTTGAGCTTTGAATAAAAGCATCATCACGTATGCTAGATTCATAATGTTTCTTTTCACTATGTATTTTCTGATGTCTAGTAAGGTGTATAAGTTGTGTATATGTTTTATCACATTCATTACATTTATAAGGTTTCTCACCAGTATGGTTTTTTTTATGTTTAGTTAGGCTTGAACGCACAGTAAAGGCTTTGCCACAGTCATTACATTTGTGAGGTTTCTCACCAGTATGAATTCTCTGATGTTCCACAAGACTTGAGCTTTGGATAAAAGCCTTACCACATTCATTACATTTGTATAGTTTTTCTCCAGAATGGATTTTCTGATGTTTCACAAGGCTTGAAATGTGGATAAAAGCCTTGGTGCACATAGTACATTTGTGTGGCTTCTCTCCAGGATGTACATTCTGATGCTTAGTGAGGTGTGAGCATTGCTTAAAAGCCTTGCCACACTCATTACATTTATAAGGTTTCTCACCAGTATGAATTCTTCGGTGAATCCTGAGGGTAGACCACTGCCTAAAAACCTTGCCACATTCAATACATTTGTATGGTTTCTCTCCAGTATGAATTCTCTCATGATCCCAAAGATATGAACGTTTGGTAAAACCCTTACCACATTCATTACATTTGTAAGGTTTCTCTCCAGTATGAATTCTCTCATGACGCCAGAGATCTGAACATTTGATAAAAGCCTTACCACATTCATGACATTTGTATGGTTTTTCTCCAGTATGAATTCTCCAATGATTTGTAAGGTGGGAATTTTGATTAAAGACCTTATCACAGATATTACATTTATACGGTTTCTCTCCCGTATGGATTCTCTGATGTCTTGTGAGGTTTGAGAACTGCTTAAAGGCTTTACCACACTCATTACATTTGTAAGGTCTCTGCTCAGAATGAATTCTCTGATGACTAGTAAGGACTGAATGATGGCTAAAAGTCTTTCCACACTCATTACATTTGTATGGTTTTTCTCTAATTTTTGTTTTCTGGTGCTGTGTGAACAATGAAGGAAACATAAAAACCCTTCCATATTTATTACAAAGGTTGGTTTTGACACTAGGAAGAAATCTTTGAAGTGGCAAAACTGAAGAACAAGTTTTGACAGACTTCTCAACTTGATCACATTGATTAATTTTCTCCTCAGTTTGAAGTCTCTGCAGTTCAACCAGATGTGACTGAAAGCTTAATCCAATTCTATTTTCAAAACATTTTGTATACTTATTTCCTGCACAGACTATATTATTTTTTATTTTTAACAAATTTTTTACTAATGACTTCCCTTGTTTAAAATTTTGATATGCACTTTTTCTTAAAGAAACACTCTGCTTTATTGGTAAATTAATCCAGGATTTGCTGTCTTGTTTATCTTTTCTACCAGGGAGATTTACAGTACCTGTCACAAGCACTCCTTTGGAATTTCTTTCTTCATATCCACACTTACTCTCAAATTCATACATATTTCCCCAAACTTCCCTGAAGTCAAAATCCTCAAGGCCATGGCTTTCATGTCTTCCCAAGACCACTGGTTGGCATAATTCTCTGTTACTAATTTCTTTCTTTGGTAGTAATTCCTTGATTATGAATCTAGCAGAGCTTTCTGAAAGATATAGAAAACCATAGTCTTCAGTAAGTAGAATTGCAAAATGGATATTACACTAAAAGTAATATATTGAAGAGATAATAACTTCTCAACCAAAGTCTGCAAATGTTTAAGAATGCAAAGTGAATAGAATCCTTTAATAAAAGATGACATGTATTTCAAATTATTTTAAGGGAAACCTACTTTATTTCTCTGTTTTTGTTTTTTGTTTTAGAAGGGCAGAGGGTAGCGGAAGGAGGGGCAGAGGGAGAGATACAGAGAATCTTAAGCAGGCTCCACACCCAGCATGGAGCCCAATGTGGGGCTCAATCTCACAACCCCGAGATCATGACCTGAGCCAAAATCAAGAGTCAGACACTTAGCTAAGCCACCCAGGTACCCCTGTAAACCTCTTTTTAAACACCCTATGACCAAATCATTCATACTATGTAAATTTACATAAGTTCTGCAAGAAAGGGTATTCTTTGACCACCACACCAAAACACACACCAATTGGCAGTAGACAAATGGGTGTCTCATATTGAAAAGAAAACAGATATTGAGGGGTCTGGGTTGTACAGTTGGTTAAGTGTCTCTTAATTTGGGCTCAGGTCGTGATCTCAGAGTCGTGAGATCGAGCCCCACAAAGGGCTCAGCATGGAGACTGCTTGGGTTTCTCTCTCCCTCTCCCTTACCCCTACCCCCCTTAAAAAAAAAAAAAAGGAAACATACAAATGCATATTTACGGCATAATTATTATATGCAAATAAATGCTGAAGCACAGCTATATATGAAGTAATAAGATTTTTTTTGGACAAATAATCCATTTAAAAAATTAATGAGGGGCGCCTGGCTGGCTCAGTCAGTAGAGCATGTGACATACCAGGGTTGTAAGTTTGAGCCCCATGTTGGGTGTAGAGATTACTTAAAAAAAAAAAATTTTTTTTAATTAATAAGCTAAATACACGGAAATTATGAATTGTAAAACTAAAGGGGTAATAGGAAAATCAAGAAGAATTTAATACAACATCATTGGAATAACAAAATATTCTGAATATCTACTCTAAAGCTATCTATACTCTATGCAGAATAGGCATTTTGGAACATTAACAATTGGTGAATTGCAGTCATATTCCAAACTAGATGCTAAAATCCATAATCTGTAAATGACAAGTTATTAAATGAAATTTTTTAACTAAACCAAGGTAAGTCCAACAGGTAAATAATAAGTAACCACAATTACACAAAATTATAGACTGTGGAATTCTAATGATTTCTCACTTAAGAACAAGAGAAAGGACTTATAGTCCAGAAAGAGCACACAAGATGAGAATTGGAAAATATGTTAAGAAAAGCTCTCACATATTCCTAGCAGTCTAAGTTACACACATGTCCACTGGCTTCTGAAATACCAGTTTTCAGATAGTATTATAAAGAACTGGGTAAAAGTAACAGCATGAAAATCACTGAGTATCATAAGTGCATCTCTCCACAAAAACAGCAAGTAAGTTGGCAAAAACTGTCAGAATCAACTTTATCGGAATTCTGGAAACTAAACAAAGGTTTACATCAAACTTGTAGATATTTAAGAAACAGGCAGCTGATCTCAGTTGAAGAGCTTCTGATATTTTAACTTCCCCTGGCCCAATCCCATTCTCTCCAGCATAGGGGCAGCCCATGTTCCTGGTATAGGTCTCCTGTACTGAGAGTGGCAGAAAAGACTTGATTCTCTAAGAACTGTGGCTTTTACTTTGACCTGCCTGGTGGCTCACTGAAAAACTGGCTCAAAAAGTTTTACCTTTACTTTGCTTATTAATTCAAGAGGTGCTATGGGGCTGGGGGGTGTGGGGTGGGCAGCATTTGACAAGCACGTTTAAAGGCAAATGTATTACCAGATGACACTTGGGGCAAAAAGCAGACAAACTGAAAAGCCAGGGAATAAGGGCTGGGGAGTGAAATGCTTTGGGGAATAAGGACTTTGAAAGGCTGCCACACGTTCCTAGGAATCCAAGTCACGCACATGCTCAGGGCTGGATCAGTGCTCAGAAAACATATGAGGCAGCCCTATGCCTCACCTCCTGCTAACCTTCAGGCTCAGCAAAAGCAGAAGGTAAAGGCTAAGGCATCGCTGTAAATTGCCAAGCTGAGTTTCAGATATTCCCAAACATACAGAATCTATTTACAAAGACTAGGAGTTTTTTGCTTTTTGGTTTTTCTGATTCCAGGTGTTTGAGAAGTTCTGTGTTAAATCACTACCTGACCACTAAGCTAACCAGAGACCTGAGTGGCCACACATGACAAAGAATACAGACTTCACAAATCAACTCCAAAAAATTACTAAACAAAACAAACAACAACTACAGTAAGCAGCAACATCTAATGCTGGGATGAGGGTGTGGGTGGAGGAGAATGTGACTTCCAGAGTTGTCATAATATTCAAAATGTTTAGCTTTAAAGAAAAAAATTATGAGGCATGCAAACTAACAATGATGTATAGCTCTTATGCAGGAAAAAAAGCAATTTAACAAAAATTTTCCTGAGGAAGCCCAGATATTGGACTTTGCTAGATAAAGAATTTAAGTCACTATTTTAAATATGCCGAAAGAACTAAAACGAAACCATGTGCAATGAACCAAAGGAAACAATAAGAACAATATTTCCCAAAATAGAGAATCAACAAAGAGACAGAAATTATAAAAAGGAACCAAAAAAGAAATTCTGGAGCTGAAAAGTACAAAAACTAAAATGGAAAAGCCCTAAAGGAGTTTAACACCAAACTCAACAGGCAGAAGAAAGAACTAAGAAACCTGAAGATTAAGTCAACTGAGATTATCCAATCTTAGCAGGAGAAAGAAAAAAGAATGAAGAAAAATGGAGAACAAGAGACCTGTGGGATACCTTCAAGTGTACCAACAAAGATAATGGGAATCCCAGAAAGGACAGAATGAAGTGGGCAGAAAAAAATATTTGAAATAATAAGGTAGAAAAATTCCCAAATTTGATGAAATACACAAACCTATGTATCCAAGGAGTTTGGCAAGCCCCGAGTGAGGTAAACTGAATGAAGCCCACAGTGAAACACTTCATAATCAAACTGTCAAGAGCCAAAGACACAGAATCCTGAAAGCAGCAATGGGCAGTTCTTTTGGTAAAAGATCCTCAATAAAACTACCTACTGATTTCACACCAGAAACCATATGGACAAGAAGGCAATGGGATGACATTTTCATAGGGCTAAAGAGAAGTAACAGTCTACTACGAATTCTATATACTTCAAAACTATCCTTCAAAATAGAGGATAATTTAAAACATTGCCAGAAAAAAAACACAAAAACGGAGAGTCCCTTGCTAGTAGACCAGTCCAACAAAAATGGTAAAGGGAATGAATGTCTCAGGCTAAAATGAAGGAAGAGACAATAACTCGAATCCACATCAAGAAATAAGGAACAGTAATAAAGACAGTACATAGGTGTGTATAAGGTTAGTATTAATGTATTTTTGGTTTGTCATTCCTCTTTTTCCCTATTGATTTAAAAAACAAAGCTTATTTTATTTTTTATTTATTTATTTTTTAAGATTTTATTTATTTGCGAGAGAGACGATGAGAGACAGAGAGCATGAGAGGGAGGAGGGTCAGAGGGAGAAGCAGACTCCCTGCTGAGCAGGGAGCCTGATGTGGGACTCGATCCCGGTACTCCAGGATCATGACCTGAGCCGAAGGCAGTCGCTTAACCAACTGAGCCACCCAGGCGCCCAACAAAACTAATTTTAAATCTATGTTGATGCCCCAAAGACACAGATGTAGTGAAAAGAAGGGCCATATGCACCCCAACGTTCACAGCAGCAATGTCCGCAATAGCCAAACTGGAAAGAGCTGAGATGCCCTTCAACAGATGAATGGATAAAGAAGATGTGGTCCATATATAAAATGGAATATTACTCAGCCATCAGAAAGGATGAATACCCAACTTCTACATCAACATGGATGGGACTGGAGGAGATTATGCTGAGTGAAATAAGTCAAGCAGAGAAAGTCAATTATCATATGGTTTCACTTATTTGTGGAACGTAAGGAATAGTCCGGAGGACCATAGGTGAAGGGAGGGAAAAATGAAGCGGGGGGGAAATCGGAGGGAGAGATGAACCATGAGAGCAACTATGGACTCTGAGGAACAATCTGAGGGTTTTAGAGGGGAGGGGGGTGGGGGGATGGGTTAGCCCAGTGATGGGTATTAAGGAGGGCACGAACTGCATGGAGCACTGGGTGTTATATGAAAACAATGAATCGTGGATCACTACATCAAAAACTAATGATTTATTATATGATGACTAACATAACATAATAAAATAAAAATGAATCTACGTTGATGGTACACAATATATAGAGATATAATTTTATGACAGTAACAGGAGAGAAGGACAGGATATAGAGGAGCCAAGTTTTCATATAATACCTAGGACATATTGTGGGTTCAGGTCTAGGGCAATGCAATATAGTGAATCTAATGAATTTTTTCATTTCCCAGTGGCTGTACTATGAGACAAAATATACTTTAAAAATTTTTATGAGACAAAGGACAATATATACTTAAAAGGATAACTCATTAAGGAATTACAAATATGAACATATACACAAGCGAACCCCAAAATATATGAAACATTTATAGAATTGAAGGGAGAAATAAAAATAGTTCAAGAATAGTGTTTGGAGACTTGCAGAACTCACTTTCAAAAATGGAGAGTACAGCTAGACAGAAGTTCAGTAAGGACACAGATGATTTTAGCCCGACTATAAACCAATGAGTACTGACAGACATATATAGAGCACTGCACCCAGTAAGAGCAAAATACATTCTTCTCTACGTGCATGTGAAACATTCTCCCGGACAGACCATATATTAGTCCATGAAGCAAGTCTCAACAAATTGAAAAAGAGTGAAATCATACAAATTATTTTCTCCACAAAAGAACAAAACTAGAAAATGAAGAACTGAAGGAAGACTGGAAAGCTCAAAAATACGTGAAAATTTTTAAACACTCTCAAACCAATGGGTCAAAAAAGGTATCACAAGGGAAATTAGAAAATACTTTGAGAGAAAAGAAATAAAACCACAACATAGCAAAGCTTACAGCACAGTGTGGTGTGGACATGCTTATACCCCTGCTGAGAGAAAGCAGTGTTACTGGTGGATCGAGAGACCCACCCCACTCCCCGGTTAGACACTCTCTCCAATGTGCGGCAAAAGCAGAACTGAAGAAACGGCTGGGGGGCCTGAAGAGGCAGAGAGCTCTTGGGCCCCAGATGCTGATGTTTTCCAACCCCAGAAGAAGGTCTCCCAAGTACACAGAATGGGATGGATCCTGGAAAAGGCCTGGTGCCAGGACTGGGGAGGCTTCAACTCTGACCCGTGTGGAATGGGAACAAGAATGGGACGAGGCTAAGGAAGAAAGAGGACCCCTTAAAACCAGCCTCCCAGTGCTCCTTAAGGTCAAGGGACCAAAGAAGTCATAGGGGCATGGGGCTCCTGGTGTAGAGCATGCAACTCCTGATCTCTGGGTTTAGGTTTGAGCCCCACACTGGGTGTAGAGATTACTTAAAAATCTTAAAAAAAAAAAGGTCATAGGGGCATATAACAGAGGGCCACAGGTCATGATAAAGATTTTGCTTTGGTCTTTGCATGAGCTAGAGGTTGGGAGGATGCACTTCCACATGTCTGCAGAAGGGAGTGACAAGGGGAAGGGAAATAAACTTTCCTCTAAGAGCTAGTAAGCAGGAAAAACTCTCCCACTGGGAGAAAGTTGCCCAAACACTATTAACACTCTCTGCCCTTCTGAACTCTTGCCTGTCTTCCCACCCACTTGGCTTTTTCACTGTTTTAACCTTGCTCTCCACAGTCTGGGGCTCTTTCCCTTGCTCCAAAATAAAGATGATATTCAAGTCAGGAAGAGGGATTCCTGCTTATAAAAAGAAAGGAACATGATGTGCTGTGTTTTTTCCAGAATAAAATTCCAGCCCTTTGTTCAACTGAGGAGAGAGGATGTTACAGATGTGTCTAGAAAAAATTTTTCACAAACTTGTTCAGTCTCTCCTGAATGCTTAAGGGATATTTTTAAAGCATAGATATCCAGCTCTCTTCCAAGAATTACTGAGTCAAAAGTACAGGGATAAAAGTGGATCTAGAATCAGATATTTTTTAAAGTTTGCCATAACGGGGGCGCCTGGGTGGCTCAGATGGTTAAGTGTCTGCCTTCAGCTCAGGTCATGATCCCAGGGTCCTGGGATCGAGTCCTGCATCGGGCTCCCTGCTCAGCGGGGAGCCTGCTTCTCCCTCTGCCTCTCTCTCTCTCTGTGACTCTCATGAATAAATAAATAAAACATTTAAAAAAATAAATTAAAAAAAATAAAGTTTGCCATAAGGTTTTGTTGTTTCTTAGCTTCTGGAAGCGTCACTAATCTAGGGTGGAGTGGGAAGATCATCTGAAGAAAGGAGGAGGTGAAGGTCTAGATGCTGCCTCATAAACTTTTTCATTTCAGAAGGTACAGGGCCTCAATCTCAGTCAAGCAGAGCAGGGGCTCCTAAGAGACTCACTGGGGCAGATCCCGACTTCTGGAGGAACATTATCCTCACCCAGGGAGACCAGGTTCCTGTAGTTCTCCACCATCACGTCCCTGTACAAGGCCCTCTGAGCAGGGTCCAGGCACTCCCACTCCTCCTGAGAGAATTCTATGGCCACATCCCTGAATGTCATGCGTCCCTGAAATGAAAAACACATTTCACCAAGGAACCTTGGGGAGAATTCTCATGTTCACACAAAATGTGAGCAGGAAAGGGATGTCAGGATTGATTCAACTGAAATGAATGTTTGGACATCATTTTGAGCAAGAATAGATAACTGTGAGCAATTTATATATCCCTAATTTTGTTTTATTATGTTTTTCCATCAGAGGATATCAGATCTACTAAAACACTGTAGATTTCCCATTTTTGTGGAAAATAAAAGAACTATATAAATGAAAAATGTCCAACACACGGTTGTTTATGTGGACATGGTATATATTATGTTCTCCACACTAGTGACAGTTCTACACACCTAGAGGATCTAGAGCACAAGAGGCATCTTCAGGTGTGACAAATGATCTGTAAAAATACAAATTACATGTTTCCATTTAAAGTCAGACATTTAACCATTATGGAGTTGATTAGCCAAATGGAGTTTATTCTACTAAAAAAAGAAACCCCAATTCATGAGGAGGAACTTTACTAATGTTGTACGTTAATTTAACAGATTATGTAGGACACAGATTGATCACAGCAGATCTTGGAAGAAATACTGGATGATTAAAAATCATGGCAAACTGGACATTTAAAAACCTGTTACTGAGCAAGACCATTCCACCAAGCATCACAATCCATAGTGAGCACTGGCACATTTCCACCACAGGTGAGACTGAGGCCCGTGGGCTAGCCAGGCTCCTGCCAGTCAGCACTGCATGGTACGCCTGAGGCTCAACTAGGTGGCGAGACACCCCTTCCCATTAGCAGTTGTACCAGGACCTCTATTTGCAAGACATTTCCCAGCCTATGTGAAGAGAAAACTTTACTGAAAGACAGAACAAAGACATCAAAGACTGACAAGCGTGATTCTTACTGGAAGATGTGGTGACATAAAGACCTCAGTGATTTAGAAATTCAAAGCAATTCAAATGCAGAAGAAACGTGGGACTTAAAAGGAAAAAAAAATCTCCATCATGTTGAGGAGAAATAATTTTGAGAAGAAAAAATGGAGAGCCTTGCCAAATGACACAGGAACCTGTTAATGTGTGTGTGTTACATGAAATTTTTCAATCAGTGAAATAAATAGCTACGAGATAGACACTAAAAAGCCAAATCAAAGAGATTATTTTAAACAAAGGAGTACTAAATGGAACACAGTACTTTGAGATTATGCTAGGTGAGGTCTTCCAAAGTAAGATCAGAAAGCAGAGGGCAAGAAGGATTTAGGTTTCACTGCAAAACACTGATAATATAAGAAAGACACAAGCCTGTATGTAAAGAATTAAACTACAAAATATAAGATTGCTCCTAAAAATATATCAAAGGAAAACAGCAAAATATGAAAAACCATGTTTTATTCCACAAAAATAATGAAAGTTACAAGTAGGTAGAAAATGGAAATACAAGGGATTGTCCTTTCCCCCGCAATTTTCAAAACACAAAGAGATTATGGTACCAAGTTTTGCTTACATGGGGCGGGGAAGGTGGGGAGGTGGGAATCTCACGTGTTGTTTTGGGACAGGGTACTTTGCAGCTTTACGAGACCACATCGGACAGAATCTGTCCTTGTATAATGCACTGTCCTTAACCCGGTAATCACAGGTCAAGAGAAATCCTCAGACATCTGCAGAGAGGTCGGTCTGCTCATACACAGCCACTGTGGCATTCTTTGTATCAGTGAGAAATGGGAAAGTCCCACGTGTCTTCACTAAGAGAATGCTCCAGTGAGGATTGAAGAGCAAGCTATGTCTGTGTTTATTAACATGAAAACAACCTCTAGACATGCTGTGTACATTTTTTAAACTTGCAGAATAAAATGTTACAACAAACTCCATTGAGGAGTTTCTTCTAAAATTTTATAACAATGTGTAAATGCATTTTTACAAGGTTTGGACTGACTCTTGCCACAGAACTGACAACAGTGGTTCCCCACTGAGACACAAATGGGGGAGGACACGACAGGGAGGGGCGTCCCCTTCCTATTACATCTTAGTGCCTAAGCTGCTGCTTTGTTAGGAGTTTAATCAGTCAATCAATACATCTATGCATACATGAGATTTTGGAAATAAAAGAGATATAATACTTAAAAATAATGGTGGAACCAGAATTTGGCTACAGCATCTCTGAGGGCAAAGAGTAAGTTCTATGCTACACATCTTGGCTACATTGCAACCATTTTTACCTAAAACATCTGCTGCACAAGAGTTGCTACAGGAATGCCATGGTCAATGTGGGACAGATGTGCTGAGAATGATTTTTAAAACCTCTTACTGTTGGCTATTTATGTTGATTCCATATTTTAAAGCCAATTATGGAGTAAAACATCCTATTGATACCTACTTCTGAACTTTATTCTAAATCATTAGTATTTTAGAACCAGAAACACCATGGTTCACTTGTTTAGCTCTGAATGCATTATAAAGTCAGGCAGAGCTGATTTCCTCTTATCGAGCTTGTTTTCCAGAATTTTCCAACTATTCTTACACATTAATACATGACTCCCACAAGTAGCTTCTTTGATCCTGGCTATAGAGAGCTGACAGTGCATCCAGATGTGGCCCCTAAAACAATCCCTGCTGCCCAACCATACTGACACCACGGGGCCCACCCACACCTGTCTCCAATCCACGCCTGGTGTAAAGCCCATCAGGATGCGCCCGGGGTGGGGGGGCGAAGGGGGGCTCCTCAAAGGCTCCACGTCACTGGGTCACCATGAGATGCAATCTAAGTGGAGAGGAGAGGGACTGAGGGAAGACCTGGGGGAATGTGGACAGACACAGCTCAGGCGGGACACTTCAGAGAAGATCAGCGAGTCCAACAAGGGCACAGCAGGAATGAGAAGAGAGAAAATCAACCAAGAATATGACTTTACCTGACAAACAGCCATTCCTGACTCCTCCCTTTCCTCTTCCAGGCTTCTTTTTCAGACAAGATCAGTCTTGAGAAGTCAATCCTAAAGGTCAAGAATCTGCAGTTTAATGCTTAGAATCAATCTACGTCCTTCCTGCAGCACAACGTCACACAGGGAGACCTCTCCGTGTGGAAACGACAGTCCTCTGCTGCCCACTGCCACAGCAGGGGGGCTCAGGGACAGTGAACTGCTCCAGACACCAACAAGTGAGTGTCCCCACCCCTTTCTTCACAACTGGCTCCCACCCTGGTGAAACTCCCCTCCCCCCCCACTGCAGCAGTGGGGACCTGGGCTGGACCCGACGTTCCCCTCCAGGTCACAGACCCGCTCTGATCACACCCACGCAGAGCAGGGTCCCCTCACCTCTCCCTCAGAAACAGAGGACCAGAGCCTTGGTGCTCAATGCTGGATACACATCAGAAGCACCTGGGACACTTCAACTGGTACTGAGGCTGGGCCCTATCCCCCCTTGACCACTGGAAGGGGACTCTCTGGGAGGGCCACAAGAGCTGTATCTGCAATCCAGTGTGAGGCCAGCCCAGCACACCTCCCACCTTCTGGCTCTGCTCGCCCCTGGGGCCTTGCTGTCATGAGTATCCAGCCAGTGGAAGGGGAAGGAGCAGAAAGAAATATGCAGAGCCGGCAAAAGGGACCAGAACTGAGGGTGAGGGAGTAGATGGAATGTTAAAGGGAGTGGTGGTGGGAGGACAGAAGCCAGAGAAGGCAGCCACTGAGGGGTGGTATCAGAACAAAGACCCAAGGCAAGAAGAGACTTCGCCACCTGCATGTGAGAGGCCAGAGACTTCTAGGCAGGACACGCATGTGAAGACCCTGGGGTAGTGGCATTTTGGGCTCCGGAAAGGGCAGGGAGGCCTGTATGGCTGGAGCCAGGTGAGTGGAGGAGAGGTGGAGGTGGTAAGATCAGAGAGTATTAAAGGAAGCAGATCAGAAAGTTCCAAAGCAGATTAGAATTCTTCAAGCTTTCCCCCTATACCTGAGAAGACTTTTGGAAACCATGTATTCCCTTATCCATTTTGAGTAAACATCTGATTTTTATTTCTTTTGTCCTAAGTTAAAACACTAATAAGTAATGGGTCTTGTATACTTTGCAAACATGCCAAGATGCCCAGCTAGGCTGCAGGAAATACAGGGTCGCCCTATATGCGGAGGCAGACTACAGGGGACACTTTTGGAGGAGTTTGGGGGGTCACTGCTGGACATATTAAGGTGAAGACGCCAGACTGTTGCCCCAGCAGAGATGTTGAGGCAGCTGGATACAGGACCCTGGTTTCAGGGAAGAGGTCTGGAGGTCTGAGTGGAGCAGTGAAAGGAGACATCAGTGTTCAAAGTCATGAGATGGAGTGACGTGGAAAGGCAGGAGGTGGAGACAGAAGAGAAGGGGTTCAGGGACTAAGCCTAGGGGTGCTCCCACAGAGACCAGGGAGTTAGGGGAAACAGGCACAGGAAACAGACACATGAACAGGGAGAAGAAAATTAAAACAGGTAACTGGAAGACAGATTTACTTTAAAAAAAGTAGTGTGATGTGGAAGCCAAGAGAAAGTGCTTCAGGAAGAGGGAGCCCAGCTCGCTATAGCTAGGACCAGCGTGGTAAGAGCACACCAATTCCTGGACTGAGAAGTGGGGAGGTCCCCAGTGACTCAGACATGGAAAGTCTCAGCGGCATGGTGGATATGAAGGTGAGAACTGGGGGTGCCTGGGTGGTTCAGTCGGTTAAGTGTCTGCCTTTGGCTGAGGTCATGATCTCAGGGTCCTAGGATTGAGCCCCACGTAATGCTCCCTGCTCAGTGGGGAGTCTGTTTCTCCCTCTCCTTCTGCCCTTCCCCCTGCCCATGCACTCTTCTCTCTCTCTTGAATAAATAAATAAAATCTTAAAAAAAAAAAAAACAAAAAACTGGAAGCAAGATCTAAAGCAGAGTATAAGCATGTGTTTAGTGTATTCTGCTCTGAAATGGAGCATAAGAAAGAGCACTTACCAGAGTGGGAAATGTAGCTAATAGAGGATGTTTTATTTTAAAGAGGCGAGAATGTAGTAAAAGGCTCTTTTTTTTTGTGGATTCTTTTTAAGATGAGACATTACCATATGTATATGGTGAACAAAGTAACTGCCTAGAGGTAAGGTAAGAATTGATGAGCAGTGGCAGTGTGCAAAAGATCCTGAGACTGTTGTACTGTTCGACCTTACCACCCCTCGCTGCTGTTCCCAGAGACCCACTTCCAGCAAGCCTGCCCCAGTGAAAACACCCACCACCTGGGCCCCAGTCCCCCACTGTCTCCCTTCTTGACTCAGACACTCCTGCAAGTTCCCATGGTGTTTGTTCTACAATCCCAGTGGACACCCCACATTATTAAAGGACAGAACCTCCTAATCACCTATACACTGCCGAAGAATCCCACACTGTGTTCCTACCATCAGTCTTTCGTTTTGGCAGGAAGACACCCACCACCCCAGGATCCGATATGTTCCTTCTTGGAGACTATCTAAACTCAGATACCTCCATAATGTCATAATATAAGAGTAATGTCTGAAATTATGTACATACTCCAGCAAGACTCAGGTATCTACTAAAGAAATGCCCCAAAATGTCATTTGTAGCCCACAAAACACGTGTGATACTTTCAGTAATGCTTTGCTTGTAATAATGAGATCCCCGACCAAAACCACTACAGATTACCACCCAAATGGTGACACTTTCCCTTCAACCCCTTATGGGTCCTAAGAGACCCCACAGAAGTCAACCACATAAACACCAGATGGGGCTTCTTGGACCCACCCCTCAGGATTCAGGCACAAACTGCCCCACAGCTGTCAGTTTGGCTGCTGACAACTAGACAGCTCACTCCCTCCTTGTAAACTGACTCAGCTAAAGGGAGCAGTGGCCTCTTCATCACAGCACCTGGCTGGGCAGCCAGTGTCCAATGTCTGGTCAATGCAGGAAAGAGAAGCCTGTTCCTTCCCTCAAATTGGACCAACTCTGGAAAGTCACCCCACCTCCAGAGCTCTCTGCTGTAGCCCTACAGTGGAGTCTGGATTTTTGTCCTGAGGGCAACAGGAAGCCAATGAAGGGATTAAAGCCAGGGGATTCCTTTCTTGCTGTTTGTCCATCTGCTGTCACCCACTGCCCCCCTTTCTGTCCCAGCACCACCTCTGTCTGGCTGTCACGGCTCCAATTCTTCTATTCCTTCCCCCACAATCTCAGTCTGATGTATCTGCTCCTTGCTATCCCACTCCTATCACCGGTTAAGGTCTCTCTCGTCCAGTGTGCTACCCTTCACCTCTCTGGAGATACCTTTTAATCTAGATTTCTCTATTTTCTTCTCCCTCTATTTTTCTCTGGTTCACTCCACTCTTACTGTCTCTCCACATCCACCTGCTCTGCCCAGTTCTACCCTCTCTTCCTTCCTTTCTCTCACACGTAGTCTTTCTCATTCTCTGTCAGACTGTCTCTGCTTCGCCCCACACCCTCACACTCACAGGTATGGGATAAAAACGTTCTTTGCCTGGGAAGAACACTTTTCCAGTAGGGCTTCGGGAATGGAAACACTATGACAAGCAGAAGCATGTGGTTTGTGCGGAAGAAACCCCTAAGGCGGTGAGTACAAAGTAGGCAAGGAGGGCCGGCTCCGGAGGTCGCGTAGGTGGAGGGGGCGTCAGGAGAGGATCGGTGCCTGCAGAGCCCCAAGGCCCCGGAGATGTGGCGTCGGGGTCTGCAGGAGCGCCTCCGCCCTGGGGGCCACCGAGGGAAGACTTCACACAGCGTGGCTGAGAGGGGGAAAGGGCCGGAGCGTGGCGGGAGTCATGGAAGGGTTTTCAGAGGAAAAAGTCCGCAATCGCTGTCTACCTGGACGAAGGCGGTTACGCGCCTCAGCAACTTTAACACTCGAAAAAGACGTGGACCCGCAGCGGAGCTCCCAGGCCTGCAATATCTGACGGTGCTGCCGGGAATCACTGGGCGCGGGAACCGGTTTTATCTATGAGGCAACCCCAAACTCCGGGTGTTGCGGATCGGAGCCCTGGGGCGAGGGTAGGGTCCCACAAAGGCCAGTGTTGAACCAAAAATCTGACACCGACTCACCTGACTGTGCCCTTCACTCAGCTTCCGGGTCTGCAGGGTACTGCGCATGCGCGGCGTGCTGCGGGGGGGCGGGGGAACGGGCCGTGGACGGTGGCCTGGACTGGGCAGAAGGGGCGTGGCCGACGTAGGAGCGGGGTCTGGACCTCGGTCCCGCCTCTGAACATTTCCTGCCTTTTCAGCCCAAAGGTACCTTACTCTCAGCTTTTCAGTTTGTTTGAATCTCTTTGGGGTCTCGTGGACCGAACAGTCTCCTGGCTATTTTTTTTATTTTTTATTTTATTTATTTACTCAACAGAGAGAGACACAGTGAGAGCGGGAACACAAGTAGGGGGAGTGGGAGAGGGAGAAGCAGGCCTCCCGCCGAGCAGGGAGCCCGATGCGGGGCTCGATCCCAGGACCCTGGGATCACGACCTGAGCCGAGGGCAGACGCTTAACGACTGAGCCGCCCGGGCGCCCCTCTCCTGGCTGTTTTAAATTAATGTTTCAAACAACTTAGTTGTGAGTGCCGCTTATATTAGAAGCTGAGATGTTTTCCTGTTAAACTGAAAGCTCAGCGGGCGGTGTTGGGGAATATAATTAAAAACAAAATCGTCTCCCAACCCAGCAATCCTCTCCACAAAGGTAGTAGAGGAAAAAAACAGTTTCATAAGTGAATAAGCATTAAACCAGAATGTGATGTGCATCACAGGCAATCTTGAGAGATCGCAGAAATGAATTTCACCCTGTCATAAAAGACAAGGGGATACGAAGGGTTACATACATGTTCTCAAGATAGATCATAACTCGTTCTCAAAAAGACATGACAGCACCATTTGTCACACATAGCTCATCCTAACATCACCAGGTAATCTGGGTGGCCATTTGTGTTAGCTAATTGGCTTTAACCAGAGGGAAAACAAACTTCTCCTATCTGTATGACAGGAGGGAGTTTTGTCACTCAGAGCAAGGCACCTGCTGAGTTAGGCACCGATCCTCCCACAGGAATTGCAAGATAAATATACTATTTCCTTTGATGTTTACATTTCAAAGAGATGGCTCCCAGATCTTGAGCAAACATTCCTGAGTTACAGTGTTGGCGAGAGCCTTATTTAGCTTTTCAAAGACGTAGATATATTTCAAACAGGAAGACAAAGAACTTAAAAGTTTTCTAAGGGAAATGCTCTAGGAAAAGGGAGGAAGAAAAGTCTCTTTGCTTTTTTTTTTTTTTCCAAGAGAGAGACCTCTTTTCTTTCTCTCATTTTTAGTTTATATTTTTCCTTACAGAAACAATATGCATTCGTTCACTAAAGCAATATTGTTTTTTAACATCTGTGATGTGCTCACAAGAATGGTAGTGTGCACTACATCTCAGGAACTGTGCTGGGAATGTCACATAAATTATGTGAGTTAATTCTTGTAATACCGTGGGAGTTGGGTTTTATATATCCATTTTCCTCAGGAGGATTTAGGTGCTGGGCTTTTCCCTATCTGGGGGTGGAGATTCTCTGTGTCTCTTTTGTTTCCCTATGACTGATCATTAAAATGGTCTTCATGTGACCGTAGCGCAATATACACGGAAGAAAAGGAAGCAAAGGAGTGGTGGGATTAGTGGTTCTGAGGGATTTTCTGATGGTTCGTTCATTTGTGCTCATGTATTTTGTTTTTAACATGTGGAGTGACCAGCGGGGCCCCCAGGAGTTGGAGACATCATGCTTTGAGGAATTCCCTATACATAGGTTATAACCAAAAGAACAAATTTTCATTTACCAAATTTTAAGGACTTTTGCTCTCCTTTATGTGCATCTGTGTATCCAGAAAATGAGTGCCAGTCCTGGATGGGCAGCCAGAGGACCTGCCCTGAACTAAGTTCTCTAAGCAGTTCTCAGGAGGTAGGACCTCAGGGTGGTTGTGGACGGGAGGAGTGCAAGAGGAAAATTCTGTATCTAAGAGGTTATTTGAGAGAGTGCCTGGTCTCACCGTTCTGTTAAACCCTGGGGACCCCAGCTAGGCAGAAGAGATTGCCTTCCAGGGTGCAGATTCTGGAGGCAGCTGAGCTCTGTGTGCATACTTGTGTAAGGGCAAAAAGTATGACATAGAATTCTAAGAAATTTTGAGAGGAGCAGCTTTAGCGAGGACCTGGGAGGGCTTCATACGTTTATATAGCATGGGGTAGTTGTGGGCAGCTAGGGCCAGCCTCTGTGCGGTCCTAGAGACACATGGATTGTGGGAGGTGCTGCATTCAGGCCCTGAGAGGCCGCTGGCTTCTCTGTGTGCATGCTCAAGGGTTTGGATAGGAAGGAAGAGGCAGAATGGGGGAGAGTAGGGGAGATCAAGTACCCCCAGGGACAGCGCAGGATGGTGGTAGGACTGGTTTGTGCTACATACTCATGTCCAGGCAGGGTTCTGCCACTTCTTTGGGTGTTCATTCTCTTGTGCAGGCTCCCTTATACATGTAAAAAAAATCAATAAAATGTGTCTGCTTTTCTCCTGTGAATCTTAGGTCAGTTTAATGCTTTTTTTATGATTTTATTTATTTATTTGACAGAGACAGCATGAGAGAGGGAACACAAGCAGGGGGTGTGGGAGAGGGAGAAGCAGGCGCCCCGCTGAGCAGGGATGCAGGGCTTGATCCCAGGACCCTGGGATCATGACCTGAGCTGAAGGCAGACGCTTAATGACTGAGCCACCCAAGCGCCCCATGCCAGTTTGATTCTTAAGCCGGGCCAGAGACTCAAGAGGGAAGGAGAGAATTTCCCCCTCCTACAGAACAATGCTTGTTAGAATGACTTAACTTTAACTTAAGTTTCTCTCCTTCCCAAAAGCTCAGAATTTAGACCTCTTGAGCACTGTAATTAAGAACAACCCCACCATTATAACAGCCCCTCCCAAGAATAGGCAACTTCAAGGTAAAACATTCTCTGATCAGTTACAGGTCTTGCCACAGGCTCATCCATTCTCCTCTGTTTTTTTCTAGACCTGTTTACCCCTGAAACAAAGGAAGATCACTTTTCTGTCTGGCTTTGGAGACATTTGTAGATGTGGTTGGAATGTTTTCCCTAATACAATATCCTCTCAAATAAAACCTCTCCTTACCTAAGTTTGAATTTTTTTTTAATTCACAAGTGGTAAATATTTTAGTTGATTTATCTGGGTTAGAAAGTGTTATTCTCTGTATTTGTGTCAGAGGGTTTAATATATATTCATTAGGTCAAACTAGTTCCTGTGTTTTTCATATTTTTGAATCTTTAATAAGTGGCACCTGTTTTTAACTGATATTACAGGGAGACATATCAAAATATTCCTGTAAATGAGGATATATCCTTTTTTAATTTCTTGTGAATATATTTATTTTGCTCTCGACAATTTTACAAGCAACAAAATTCATAAAATAGATTCACGACTCTCACAATTAACTTCTCTACTGTTCTGGGTTTAATTTAAAGTTCCACCATCAGCTTATTTCTTTGCTTGGGATTATGGAAGTCCATGGGGAAACTTCTTTCTTGCCAACACGCATGGTATAGGGAAGGAAAAATAATCTTCCATCTACTCTTCTGAGTTCTTGGCTGAGACCCCTGTAATAAAAGATAGATTAACAGGAGAAAAACAAACAGATGTTTATGAACACGTATATCTCATATATACACGGGAGAGACCCAGAGAAAATCTAAGTAACTCCCCAGGTGGCCTAAAGCCACCTACTGAAATACCACCTTCCACTAAAGACAAAAGAAAGATGGGGCAAAGCCAACTATGAAGACTTGACCAAAGAAAGCTGCGTAAACAGAAGTAAAACTTGTTAGGCTTTTGATAAAATTTTTGTGTAGAGTCATCCTTCTCTTCCCCTATAGAGAGGGAGACACCTGTAAAAATAGAGCTTTCTGTTAAATGTAATTCTCCTTACAAAAGGGTAACTTCTCTATGGTTAAGTGAATAATTTATATCTCCATATTATTATTTATCTACATACATATTCTTTATCTCATGATTTTTTAAAAGATTTTATTTATTTGACAGAGAGTGAGCACAAGCAGCGGGGAGTGGCAGACGGAGAAGCAGGCTCCCTGCTGAGCAAGGAGCCTGATGAGGAACTCAGGACTCAATCCCAGGACCCCTGGATCATGATCTGAGCTGAAAGCAGATGCTTAACCAACTGAGCCATTCAGGTGTCCATATATATATATATATATCGATATAGATAGTCTAAAGCTTTATTTTTTAAAAAACCTAAATAAATACCCTAGATATATTGCAAGATTATTTTTAGGTGAAAATAAATTGAAATGTCTTTTAAGGACTATATATTTTACGGGATTTGTTATCCACATCTGCCAGAACATTCAGAAATAGAAAACAAAGAAAACCACTAAAATATACTACATTTACAAAAAAGTAATCTCTACACCCAATATGGCGCTCGAACTCAGGCTGGCAAAATCAAGAGTTGATTGCTCTACCGACTGAGCCAGGCGGGCTCCCCGCTAAAATTTTTAAATAAAAAACATGCTTTCTAATTATCTTCAGAGTGATTGTAAATTTGAAATTGTTATATTTAGAAATTATGACTTAACCATATTGTGATGCCAACAGTGTTTATCTCAAATGCATTTGAGTATAATTCATCTCAAGTGTGGAACAATATAATAAGTATAAAAACAGCCATGCAATTTAATCTTTTTTTAAAGTTACTGATTTTTTAAAAAAGATTTTATTTATTTATTTGACAGAGAGAGACAGCGCGAGAGAGGGAACACAAGCAGGGGGAGTGGGAGAGGGAGAAGCAGGGGAGCGGACCGGGGAGCCCCATGTGGGGCAGAGATCATAGGACCCTGGGATCATGACCTGAGCCACCCAGGTGCCCCTAAAGTTACTGATTTTTTAAAAGTAATATATTATTACACGCCTTAGCCCTCCTAGTCCCACACCTCAGGTCTTGTCCCTGGGAAAATCTCTGGAACACCACAGGGTTGAGTCTCCGACTCCCAGGTGAATGGAAAGTAGAAACGGAAATGATGCTTTGGGCGCACTAATGAGACTGCACATTCCGCCCAGGCAGGATTTGCATTTCACATTCTAGTATGCATCGCCTACACATATTCCAGTTTTTGTTTCGTTACGTTGCAACTGTGTTCCGGGATCCAGCCACCGCCCACATCCACCTCGCACCGAGGTCCCAGCTCCCAGATGGCGGAGCTGCTCCAACTTCTCTGGCGGGACTTGAACCGTTTTCAACTGTGAAGAGGGTAACATCTTACTCTCCAACGTAAGTGGCGCCCACAAAACTCTCAGTTTTTACCTTAAAATTGAAACATTAACTTGAAAAAGAAAGCAATGCTGCTGCCCAGGGGAAGAAACAGGACTCAAGCACGCCTAAACCCTGAAAGCCCGGGAGCGAATCCCAGGTCCCGCCCCCTCACCGGCCCAGCCCAAGCCTGACCTCGCCCCGCCAACGCCTCGTCTCTATGGTTACCGCCAGCCCCCGAGGCCTCGCCTCCCCCTCCCGCCGTCCTTTCGCAGGCTTGCTTTTGCTCCGCGCCCCGCCCAGGCCCCGCCTCTTCCCTCTGCGCGCGCGCAGTTGTCTGCAGACCCGGAAGCGGGTTTCGTGGAGCCGAGGCCAGTCTGTGGAGTGTGAGTTTCGTCTTTCTTGTTTAAACCTGCGCCTCGCAGTCCCTCCCCGACAGCACCCCAAAATTCAGACGCTTCCGTGGGAGGCCGGGGGCTTCCCTTTCGGTTTGAAATCCGCGAGGTGGGTCCGCGCCTTTCTCAGCCCCTAGAGGGCAGCGCCGGCCGCCCCTCAGGAGAGGCTGGTCCTCACCTGGGCGGAGAGAGAGTGGCGAGCTCAGCCCTCCGCGGAGACTCACGCACTTCCCCTCACCTCGCGTCCCCCTCGGCCGGCTCATCTGCTCCGCGGGCCAACGCCCGTCAGTCCTCGCCTCTCCTTACCCTGTGTTGGGGAGGTGACTAAAAAGGGCCTGTCTTGAGACAGCCAGTGCACCCCGCACTGGGTAATGTGCTCTTGTGGGAGGCGGCGGGCATCTTACTACATCCCCCTTCTGGGTGAGAGGAACCCGGAGAAGAAGAGGGGCTGTCCACCTTAAAAACACAAGTCAGTCATTTTACTAGCAAAATGAGTTTATTCTGGAAGAAACAGAGGAATTGCAGTTTGGGACATGCATGGCGTGCATAAGCAAGTCGGGAGAGAAAAGGAGGGTCAGCTTTTATTTTTAGGAGGAAATTGGGGACGGGTTGCTTTAAACAAAAGTTCATTGGAGAACAAGCGTGGAGGTGGTGGCTGCAAGTGGTGGTTAGTGCGTTTGTTGCTGGGGCAGGAAGGGATCTTCCTTTTTTTCTTAAAAGCAGGAGGTGAAATTCTCGTGTAAAAAATTCCCTCCCTTTTTAAAAATAATTCTTATCTTCTCTTTTCTTGCTGGTAAAGCAGGGTGCAGGGAGTGGTACTTGCCTGAGAGCTCCCACTTCGGGGTTTCCCACTCCTTTTTAAATGAGGTTTCCTTATTTTCACAAGACCCACTGAGAGAATTATAGAAAAATGAACAAAGAAGAATGAGGGAGAACCACAAACAGATGGAAAAGTAGCAGCAGTGGGAGAAAAGAAGATTGAGAAATTTAGAGTAAGAAGGAGATCTACAGGGAGATAGATAATGGGAAACAAACTGTGGAGAGGAGCCACCCCTTTTTTTGAAGATGGGCAATGGGAGCATAGGTAACAAAGGGGGAGGCACTTCCCAGGCAGTGAGGGGAGAGTTTAAAAGAACTGGAGTCGTGGCAGGGGCTATTGGGTGCCCAGTCGGTTAAGCATCAAACTCTCTTGCTATCTCAGGTCATGATCTCAGGGTCATGGGATGGAGTCCCAAGTCAGGCTCCGGGCTCAGTGGGGAGTCTGCTCAGTATTCTCTCTCTCTCTCCCTCTGCACCCCCCACCCTACGATCTCTCTCTCTCTCTCTCTCTCAAATAAATAAATAAATCTTAAAAAAAAAGAGTTGAAGTCACGGCAGACAGAGCAATGTGGTGCTGGAGGAAAGGAGGGGGCAATGGGAGACAGGAACAGAGAGAGAAACAGCAGGTAGGAAGCTGAGCAAGCTGGGGGTGCCAGAGAGTGGGGACAAAGGGGGAGTGGCAGGGAAAGAGCAAACTTAACTGGGAGAGTAGATGGGAAGTAGAGATGGGGGAGGAAAGGGGCAGAAATGTGTGGAGACGGATAATCAGAAAGGTTGGAGAGAAAGAGCAACAAGATGGGAAACAAGTTGCAGAATGGGGCAGAGAAGGGGAGAAGTTGCAGAAGGAATCCAGAGAAGGGGAGAAACAGCAAGACAGGAGAGGGGAACAGAGTGAGCAGAAACCCAAGGGGAAAACAGAAAAGCAAGAAGAAAAAAAAAGAAGATGAATATCGAGAGAGAGAGAGCAAGACAATAGTGAAGAAAGGGACCCAGAGGAGTGGTGAATTGATTGGATATGGATGAGTAAGTATGTTACATTGATGCGTAGCTTAATAATACACTTAAAATTAGATTAAATTATGCAGATCAGGATGAGCATTGCAAAACTTCTGTCTAAAAGGCTTGTGCATTTTATAATTATATCAGAAGATAACTTCTATTTGTCATCCTTGTTCAGTCAAGAGGGCAGAGACGGGTCACCTTCATCCCTTTGCCTGGGCTCAGAGGAAGGTGGGGCAAGAAATGACTGTCACTACACCATGCCTTTTTTTTTTTTTTTAATATTTTATTTATTTGACAGAGAGAGACACAG